TGCAGATTGATTACTCAGTCATTTTGAATGCGACGGCCACACATTACACATGCTCACTCAATGACATCTACCACCCTACTGACTAGTACAGTGAAGTCATAATTGTTTATGTACGTGCATTTGAGTCTACTCTCCTTGGCTGCCAGGTTACATCGATGTCACACAAACTGTTTTCGTTATATTAACAATGTCTGGACTATTTCCGGATAGACCTCGCTGAAGTAGAATTTGTAACCATGCACTTCCAATTCAAATTCTCCTTTATATTTCTGTTGTTGAAGAGTGTCAACTTGGGGGCTGACATCCCCTGGGGGTATGGTGAATAGAAGGAGGTGGGGAGGAAGAAGTCTGCTGTGCATCTCTGGAGTGCTCAGTGGCTGGAGCACCAATGAAGTGTTCTGGGCAACCAAGAATAAAGCATGGCAGAGGCCTTTCCTCATGCTTGGACCCTAACCAGTCCTTCCTGTGTGGTGAGAAAGGAGGGAACAGAGAAGTTAATCTGTTATATTCTTGCAGGAATTCTTATGGCTATGTAGTGTGAGATGACTAAGGCCAATTTAACAGCCACTTGTAAAAGTAATTACAAGATGAGAGAGAACAATTTTGCTACTACAGGCTGTGAAAACTAATTAATTCAACAAACATTCATTGAACAAGTGAATATATAGCAAGCACCATAAGGTATGAGTCCTGGGGGGATACAAATGATACAAATATACTCTTTTTTAATTTTTTTTTGTTGTTTATTCTATTACAGTTGTCCCAGTTTTTCCCCTCTATCCCCCTCCACCGATACTTCCCCTCTAGCCCACAATCAATCCTCTCTCCGTTGTCCATGTCCATGGATCATTCATACATGTTCTTTGACTAGTCCCTTCCCCTTCCTTCTACCATTTCTCCTTCCTCCTCCCCTCCTACAGCTTTCAGTCTGTTCCATGTTTCCATGTCTCCATGGCTGTTTTTCTCATTAGTTTAGATAAAAATATACTCTTTCTTTGTGTTGGGCACTTGGGAAGTATGGGAAGGAGTTACAGTACAATGGAGACAACGACCAAACTACCAATTTTGCTACATTACAGGACTAGTGATGTGATAGAAAGCTAGTGAAAAGGATTTTAGGAATGCAGAACACATGCCATATGGAATTGACTAAAGTTTCAAAGATAAGATTGGTCTTTAGGCAATTTGAAGGATGAGCCCGGCCAGTAAAATAAGTTGGGAGACATCCAGCTTCCAGGCAGGGGACACACCAGGTAGCGAGAGGCCTGAGTGGCTCTTGTGTTGAGAGCTGGTTGGCATCTGGAGTGACTGAATCCTTAAATGCAAGGTGGGAGGAGACAGACATGGGGTTGTTGGAAAGGTAGTTTGGGCCAGATGGGAGGGCCTGAAAAGCCATGCTCAGGAGTGTGGGTTTTATAGGAAAGGGAAAAGGGAGCCCTAGAAGCCCTTTTGAGTGTGTGTGTGTGTGAGGGGGGTGCTCTTCTTATAAGACATCATGGAGGGAATGGGGAGGATGGTATAAGTTGCATGAGTCTGGGGGCAGCACTTGAAGCAGTCGATGTGTGAGCAAAGAATCTGAACTTCAGTTGCGGCGGAGAGAGATTAGAAGAGGGGTCCATTGATGATTCCTCCAAACCCTCCCACCAAGACTTTTTAAAAAGGTTTTATTTATTTATTTTTAGAGTGAGGGGAAAGGAGGGGAGGAACATCAGTGTGCGAGAGAAACATCAATCAGCTCTCACATGCCCCCAGCTGGGGACCTGGCCCACAACCCAGGCATGTGCCCTGACTGGGCATTGAACTAGTGACCTTTTGGTTCACAGGCTGGTGCTCAGTCCACTGAGCCATACCAGCCAGGGCCCACCAAGATTTTAAAATTTTTAAATCTTTTTTAAAATTTTAAAATCTTTTAAGGAAGTCTTTCAAAAGTACTTGAAAGAGAGAAACTTATTCAGACCTTTGAACAGTTCTGAAAATTTACTACATTTCATCTAGGAAAGAAAGTATTTCAGGCAAACTGGAATGGGTGTGGACTGATTACTCAGCAAAGCCACTTAATCTTTCAGAATTAATTAGGAGGGAAGCTATTTTAGTGGCCTTCAATCTTTTTCCAGCACTTTGTCTAGGTTCTTCTCAAATGGTCGGTGAATTTTTCTGATTCTTATCCAGCACCCCGACAGTGCTGTGTACCTATGTAAGCTGTAAGGAAGTAGATTTCATCCATTTCTTTTTTTTTCATCTCTTCCACCTGAGAAAACAAACACCAGTCCATAGGTTCTTGTCCTGTATTAGAAATTTGCACAGCGTGTAATCTAAGACGGATCCAGCTGAGAGTTACAGGTTTGGAGTTTAGAATAAAAAGAGGCATAATATTTTCATTTTTTCTTTATTTTGAGAAAAGCTTGGCAATCTGGACTGTTTGAAGGAGGAGTTATATAAAATATCTCCTGCTAACCAAGTATCTGGAATAAAGCATCACCTTATTTTCTTTAGATTGCATGAAGACATTTCTATCCACAGTTTAGAGCTTTTCTGTGGAGTATTTAGACTTAAAACATTTTGAACCTCAACAAACAGACAAACAAAAAACTCTTACAACTCTTACAAAGTTAACCTGCTTTTGGGATTGAGAAGTCTCTGGCTTATGAGGTTCCACATGTAAATTCCAGAGACTTCTAATTACTTTATTGTTCTTGTGGTTCGAATATTCCAGAAAGCTCTAGGCATGTCTCCTGGAGATTTGATGTTCAAAGTGACCCATGGGCTCACCTCACTTATGTTCTTACTATATCACAGTTCCACTTACTCTATGTTGGTTACAAAGCAGTGGTTCTAGTGGTATATAGGACCAAAGTATAGACTCCATGGTAAATAAAGTGGTTTACTAATGTCAGATTCAGGTGTTACTCTTAAAGTCTTATAGTAAATGTTCTAGCAGCAATTTCAGTTACCTTTAGTTAAGAGCTTTTCAGTTCTATGTGGTAGTTATGGTAAAGGAATAACTGAGAGTTAATGGTACTAAATTACCACTGACTGAAATATAGTTGTTAGGTTGTTCACATACCAAGGGTTACAATTTCTTAATATTAGGAATTATTCTGCAAGACAATTATATTGATGTTCAAATTACATTAGTGTAGTTGGTGTTTTTTTCTATGTGCAGGCAAGCCTGTACCTGAAGATGTATAATTTATTTACAATAAGGGGCTGTATTGTAAAACTCAGTTACTTTTTTTGTGTGAGGTTTTGTTCATTCAGTTGAATGAGAATTTTTTGACTCTATCCTGAGTGCCTATCCTTGTGCTCAGAGATGAATGGAAGTTACCCCTTGTCCTTGGAGAGAAGACATTTTAATGGGAGGCAGAGCTAAACACATATTTGTAATATAATGTGATAAGTGTTGAATTAGACATTAAAAGCTTGCATAAGGAGGATTTCAAATGTATACAAAAGTAGAGTAGGAGAATGAACCTGCATGAACCCTTCATCCAACTTTAACAGTTCTCAACTCTTGGTTGGGCTTGTTTCATCCATACTCCCCACTTACTCCCTTTCCTCCTTTTATTTGAAAGCAAGTCTAAGACGATGTATCATCTGAAGGATGTTTTTCCACATTCATATAGTGAGGGAATACACTGGGAAAATAAACCGCATGTGGGCCTTGGGAAGGAGCAACAGAGAAGTAACATTGGAGTTCAATTTAGTGGGGAGGGAGGAGATTCCAGTTCCAGGTAAATGAGATGGAACCCAACAATTATTAACTATTGCTAAGCATTCTGTTATGTTCATTTAGTATATTTATTTTTTTCCTCACAGTAGTCTTATGAGGGAGAGAATATTTCTACTTTACATATGAAGAAATTAGGTTTCAGGCAGATTGAATTAACTTGCCGAGTCATAAAATTAGTTAGTTTCTTCATTGAAAACCAAGCTTGACTTTAAGGCTATTAAGTTTCCCATCTTCTGCAGCATGTGCACTAGATACGCATCTGGGCAGCGAGAGAAACTGAATGCAGCTACAGAACTGTGTGCATGTGTTTTTGTGTCCAGGGATTAAACTAGAAAAGCTGCTCAGGGCCAGGTTGTGAAGGAACTTGAATACCATACTAAAGAGATAGGATTTTGTCCCAAGAGTGGTGGGGAACCAGGCTGAGATGTCTTTAGGCATGAAAACAGTATTACTAAATGAAAAGAAGGTACAAAATAGTATGTGGTATTCTGTTTGTATAAAGTATTGAACAAACAACAGGAAAAACACAGGTGTGTGCTACACATATGCATAGACCATTTCTAGAAGAATATATAGTGTTTTCTTCTAGGGCATAGAAAATGGCGGGTACCTTTTCTTCACACTTACTATTTGAACTTTTGAGTATCTGTTACTTTGAAATAACTTTTAAAAAGTTATTGAATGTTTAATTTTGTTATTTTAAACCACCAATAGGATATGTGTTAAAGGTCTACAAATGAAAGATTGCATATGTCTTGAAAATATCTGTATATAGTACTTTGATGTTTCTCTGAAGTGAACACTCAAGATGTAATTTTAATGCTTCAGAAATCATTTTGCCTGAGAACTTTAAAAATAATCTTAATTCCAATCAACTGGAATCACCCACAGGTAGTGGTTATGACTAATCTGTTCCCTTTTTGCCCCTTACTTCCGGAAGACTTTGTACACCAGAATTTACCCCCTGAAAAAAGTCACTCTCTCTTGTAAGAAGAGTAACAGCTGTCCTTTGTCACATTTATTTTTATTGTTGAGAGAGGAGGCATAATCACTCAGTGCTGAAACCTCATGAGTAGGTAGAATTTAATTATCCAAATTGAAAACCTCCCTGTAAACTGGAAGAAAAAGAAACCAGCGTGTACACATAGGTTCTCCGTGGACTTTTGGTTAGCTACACTATGAAATCCTTGAGATTTCATAATATATCTAGTCTCATTTTCCTGTTATGAAATGGGTTTTTTTCAGCACGGTTTTTCTTGTCTGTTTTCAGATCACAGAACTGTGTGGTGCCAAGCGGGTTGGTTATTTTGGTCCAACTCAGTTTTATGTTGCCTTGAAATTAATTGCTGCAGCACAGTCTGGCCTCCCTGTGCGGATAGAGAGTATTAAATGTGGTGAGTAGCTCCCCTCTTATGCATTTTATTGCCTGTGATGGGTTTCTTATTTCTGAGAACAATTTTTAGCAGGTTTAAGGCCTGTTCTGTAAGCATTTGTGGAATTTCTCCTTATTTTTCTAACTCTCCTGCAAACTAACATAAGACAATGTAGCAGGTATCTTACTTTTTTTTTTAAGTGGAGGAAAAAAATTTAGGGAGTGACCTGAGATTAGTTAATTTTAGCTGACTTGCCATAAAAATAGATTTTGTTCTTTAAAAGCAGGAAGAGATTGGGACAAGAATTCTAGAGCCTGTGGCAGAAGAATAACATTCAGTTTAATTTTCCACTTGAGGAATCTCTAATGTGTTTAAGGCTCTGTTTGGGACAAGGGAGCAAGTAACTGGAAGAGTCTGGGTGGAACTGCTCCCTTTCTCTTTCCCTTGACCCTGCCAGTCATATCAGCTCTGATCATCCTTTAATTCCCCAATTCCTGAAGCACTGTCCTGATGGGTAGCAAGTACTTCGGGGGTACCAAAGCTACTGCAAAATTTTGGCAGAATAAAATTATCTTCTCAAAGTTTTGATTTAACATTTTCTTATCTTCCCATCCCTGCCCCCAACCCACCATATACTTGAGCACTTTCCAGAACTTGAACAAAAAGCAAAGCCCCAGACTCTCAGCATCATTTATTTTATTTTACTTTAAAAAAGATTTTATTATTTTAGAGGGGAAGGGAGGGAGAAAGAGGGAGAGAAACATCAATGTGTGGTTGCCTCTTGTGTGCCCCCCCCTGAGGATCTGGCCTGCAGCCCAGGCATATGCCCTGACTGGGCATCGAACCGGCGACACTTTGCTTTGCAGGCCAGCACTCAATCCCCTGAGCCACACCAGCCAGGGCTCTCAGCATCATTTATACTGCCTCAGTATTGGTTTTACAAATCTGTAAGAAGAAGGTGAACACTCAAGGGATGCGCTGAGAGATCCCCTGTTAATTCAGTTTGATACAAGTGATTTTCAGATGTCCACACAGCTATGCAGGAACCTTTTCCTTTTCCTCACATTGAGATAAAAACCACTCAACTGTTCACACTAGTCCTGTGAAGCCCCTGGTAGACCTTGAAGTGGGTTCAGGATTTATGGTTAGTCTGTGGTAACTTTGTAGGACAACTCCAAATAGCTGAGAAGATTCTGATAGCTTGGACTATGGGCATCAAAACCCTTTTACTCTAACCATCAGGGGACTGTGATCATTCTCCTAATTTTTATCAGAGCCTTAGTGTATGGCAGGAACTGTTTCATTTAGTCTTAATCAGTAGGTAAATTAGGTATTTGTGTCAGTTTTCATTGCCTAGGGTAGGCTGTGATAACAGACATCACCGAAATCTCAGTGCCTTAACAAAACAAAGGTTCACTTCCTGCTTTGCAGTAAACCTCTAGGGTAGCTGCCTTCCATGTGGTGGCTCTGTGATCCTGGCTCCTTTATCTTGTGGCACCTCCAGACACAGCACTTGTTTCCATAATTGCTACAACGGAGAAATAGTGTCTAACTCTAGCAGTTAAATGTGTTAGCCTGGATGAGTCTCATGTTACTGCTGCTCACAATGCATTGGCCAGAACTTGTCACATGATTCATTGAATTGCAGAGCTGACTGGACAGGATGTAATTCTCTCATGTGCCTGCAAAAAAGAGAAGTGGCTATGCGTAAATACTGGTGGTCTCTAATGTGGGACCGTTATTATCCCTATCTTACAGATACAGAAATTGAAGTTTAGGGCAGTTGAGTAACTTACCTAAGGACTCAAGATTAGTAGAGTTTGGAGCCAGGAGCTCAGCCTCCAGTTCCGATGCTTTTCATTGCTATTCGAAGTAGCTTCTTGATTATTCTTTCTGTTTATAAGGTGCTGAGTATAATCTGTAATTATGGAATATTATCCAAATTGGGAAAAATATTACCCAAAAGGCATCCTTTGGTATTACATAATTTGGTTCTTTGAAACAGGTTTCTTGATGGAGTATTGTTTCAGTGGCACTTAGGTGGTTATTGCTACAAGACATAACAGTCACTGCTGTTAGTCACTTGCTCTAATTAAACTTACATCACATTGAATTTGGATTTGTGGTAGGCAGTGATGGTTTCCATTGCATTGTAAATGGCCATTAAGGTTATTTTAGTATCTTCCAACTTTATCTTCTGGAAAAGTTAGAATTGCTCTGCTGTATACAAGAATAAACTTTCGACACGTTTGTTCCCTATTTTGAGTTAGATTGAAGTCTTTTACCTGATATGTGCCCAAATCTACAGTTTGATTTCCCAGGGCATGAGGGGAGGGGAGGGGAAGGGTTGTCTAAGTTATCGCTTGTGTATAGGATTAACACGTTTTTTTACAAATATAAGGTGTTCTCAGTTGTGTTTTATAAATCCTAAAGCCTTTTACCTCTGAGGGTTTAAGGATACTCAAAGTCAATTCTGAATTTTCTTCATTTATTTAAAGATTTATTAAATAAAAGTTTTTTGCAGTCAGCATATGTTGAGTAAGAATGAGGGCAAGATTGGGCCAAACTTTGAGCTCCCACTTAGAATTTTTCAATTTGTTGCTTGAACTCTATTAGCTTCATGTGTGATGGCACAAACCTTAAAGGCCAAATAGAAGGCTCTGTGAGAACCTAATCTGAAAGGCTATGGTAGCACCATCACACCCAGCGAGTTGTGAGTCCATCCTTACTTCTGTGAGTCCCACGCTTCCTACATGAATGACATGTGCCTGGCCTCCTCTCTTCTCCATTCTCTTTCCCCACACAGCAGTAAGAGGTCCAGTGGTCTTTTGAAAATATCCATCAGATCATTCCTCCTCCTCCTTAAACCCTCTAGTGGTTTGCTGTTGTACATAGTTCCAAATTCAAAGTCCCTACACTGATCTGTAAACCCTACATAGTCTGCATACTTCTCCATTCTCATCTCAAACTTCTCCCCCATGCTTACAATCTGTTCCCCTAGCCTCACTGGCCTTCTAGCAATTTCTGAGCCATCTCTTTCCTGCTGCAGGAAGCACCATGTTATCTGAAGGTTTTGGGTTCCTAGTGGTCTGTTCTTTCCCCTTCTCCTTCCCATGGCTGGTTCCTTCTCATTCTTCATGATTCAGAGACTGTACCCTTTCTCTTATCTAAAGTAGGTCCTGTCAAATTGATTAGTGAAAAGAACCAGCATATAGTAAAGCTGATTCAATAAAGTATAAGCAAGTCAGAAGTATTTACTGTCAGGGAAAGAAAGAATGCAGGAGTAAGATTACTGAATTATATATGATATTGATTAATGGCCTATAGGGCAATAAAACTGGAACTTGGTTATTATACTCTTTTCTAAGAGGAAATTAATTTGCATTGCTATTAGACAAGAATTGCTTGCTAACAGTTTTCTGTAAGTTAGTCTCTACCCTTCCAGAATTGTAAAATGCCTAATCAAGAGTAAATAGTAAGTCAAAACAAAAGTACGTATTCCTAGGGGGTTAGGTAATCACTGGATGAACCTGTTAGGTAATGCTTCTGTGCAACAGTTTCCTCCCTACTTTGTTCTCTTTCAGCATCTTCTCCTTCGTAGCACTTTTGTCAGAGTTTGTAAATACGCCTTTACAAGTTTGACTATTTTTTGGTCTGTCTTCCTCACTAGTCTAGAGCTTACTAAGGAGGAAGGGAGGAGGATCTGGTAATGCTGCAGTGTGGGCCATTGTGGACACTCAGGGCATGTTTGTTGAATGAATGAATGAATGAGTGAATAAAGAGATGAATGCTTATGCTTGGGGAGTGAGTGTTAATCATATGTCAGTCTTCAAGTTCCAATTCACCTGGAGCTCCTGATAGACTCTTACAGAAATCAAGTTTCTGAGGCCCTGCCTGGTTCTCAACCTCATATGCACTTGATAATCACCTAGATCAGTGATTTTCAACTGGTGTGCTGCAAGAATTTTTAAACCATGCAATACTTCACTATTTAGTCAGAGGCGTTGACCTCTTTTTCCTTTAGATTGTCCAAAAACAAAACAAAACCCAGCCCTGACTTGTGTGGCTCAGCGGGTTGGGCATTGTCTCACAGACTGAAAGGTCTCTGGTCTCTGGTTTGATTCCCTGTCAGAACACACGCCTGTGTTGCGGGCCAGGTCCCTGGCTGGGGGTGTGCAAGAGGCAACCGATCAATGTTTCTCTCGCACATCGATGATTCTCTCCCTCTTTCTCTCTCCCTTCTCCTCTCTCTAAAAAATAAATAAATAAAAGTCTTTTTAAAAAAATGACAATAGCCACCCTGGCTGGTGTGGCTCAGTGGACTGAATGTTGACCTGTGAACTAAAAGGTTGCTGGTTCGCTTCCCAGTCAGGACACATGCCTGCGTTGTGAGCCAGGTCCCCAGTTGGGGGTGTGGGAGAGGCGATGGAGAGGAAACTGATTCATGTATCTGTCTCACATTGATGTTTCTCTCCCTCCCTTTCTCCCTCCCTTTCCCTCTCTCTAAAAGCACATAAATAAAGTCTTTAAAAAAAATGACAACAGGCAACACAACAATAGCCATCCAGTGTGACTGAATTGAAATTATACTTATTTTTGTCAGATCGGCAAAAAATACATTTTTTTGGTGTGCTGCAGAATTTTAGTAATTAGCTTGTGTGCGACGTGAGATGAAAAGGCAGAGACAAATGTATTTGAAAAAATAAATTAAAATAAAATTAAAAAAAAGAAAAGGGTTGAAAATTGCTGACTTAGATATCTTTAAATGCAAAAATTAAAAATAGAGGTACTTGAGGCCACCCCCAGAAATTCTAATTTACTGTATTTAGTCTGGAGTAGGGCCTGAACATCGGGAATTTTAAGAGCCCTCCCCAGGTGATTCTTATGTGCAGCCAGTGTTGAGAGTGACTTCTAATGAAGCCAAGTGGAGCATTTTCAAGAGCTTTGCTTCAACTCTGAGTACATATTTGGTCATACCAGGGCCTGAACTGGAGTGCAGCAAGAGGCGCAGCACCTAAGGTGCAGAATTTAAGGGGACATTCACTCTCAGGACCCTGCAAGTGTTCACTCTGCATATACATGGCCCTGAGACTGAGCTCCTCCTTAAATATTGGCTCTAGGCATCTCTAGCCTCATCTAGTCAGAGCTGGGTTAAACAGCCAGGGTTATCTGTTGAACACCAATAAACTACTGGTCAGGGAGCTTATAAATGCTGACCATTTACTTATTTTCCTCCCCAGCTACTCAGAAATAGGATCATCCTCTTGTGGGCAGATCAGGGTACAAATTACTAATGTGATTTTGTTCCATCTTTTCAGATTCTTTTGCAGACTGAGCTGAAACAAATGCCTTTCTGAGAAGACACCATAGGATTAGCTTATATTTGATTTATTTTTCTCTTGCCTTTTTTCTTATGAAAGTCCATTCCTGCCTTGAGTGCTGGAAAGTTGCCGAGGTTGGGAAACACTAAAACAGTAAAAATGGCAGCCATCCTCTCTTTAGGAGAGTCTTGGTTTAATTTTCCAGATTGGTTATTCTATTTATGTCTCTTGGGCCCTTGGCTGATTGATCACACAGGGATTTGTCACATTGCCTACTTCTTTGAATCAAATGTGGACATAGCAACTAAAAATAAACATGATGTGGATATTGGAGAACCAGGGACCTTCTTTGCCTGGGGAGCTAGGATACTTGCTTGCTGTTGTAAGATGTTTTCTGGCTTTAGCACAGCATCAATCATTGGAAGTGCAGCTGTGTTTTGGGAATAGCAAGCTCATGGAAGCGCAAAGGCACACTAATGAGTATTATCTTGATCGATGGATACAGATGCAAATCATAATGCATAGTTAATATTATCCCCATTTTTGGAGTTCTTTGTGTTGTGTGACTTGCTGTGCTGAGAACTAAAAGTGTGCCAAAGCATCATTTCTGTTTTCAGAATAGTTCCATCAGATTTTAAAGACAGTAAATATATCAGACTGTTGCGTTTCAGTTCTTTGTAGCATTGTGAGTGTGGCTAATGGTTTTGACAGTAGGATCTGGCTGAACATTGGACTAATTGCTTTAACTTGATACTGTTTTCCTTACTCCATTATGAAAAGACAATTGAATGTGAAAATTCCTCAAGGAATGACACAGGGTGAGAAAGTGTTCTACCCAGGAAGTTTGCTCTAGGAATGAAGGACCCTTCTGTAGGGCAGTAGCACTGGGCACTGGTTAAGAGCCAGCTCTGCCACAGATGAGCTATGTGATTTTGGGGATGTTACTTAGCTCCTTCATGCTTGTTTCCACATCTGTAAGTGAAAGCTAATGAAAGTCTTACCTTGTCAACTTGTGAGGATTAAATGAGTTAATATTTGCAGATCTTTTTAAAAAAAGGGTTTGCTTATTTATTTTTAGAGAGTGGGGAAGGGAGGGAGAAAGAGAAACATCAACGTGTGGTTGCCTCCTGTGTGTCCCCTATTGGGGGCTTGCCCGCAACCCAGGCATGTGCCCTGACTGGGAATCAAACCAGCGACCCTTTGGTTTGCAGGTCGGCGTTCAGTCCACTGAGCCACACCAGCCAGGGCAATAGTTGCAGATTTTAATACAGTGTCTAGCATATAATAAGTGCTATATAAGTTTTGCCTGCTACCGTTTGTCACTTTCTTATATAATATCACATCCTTTTCCCTAGTGCTGGACCAAAGGCTGAAGTGGGCGATAAGTCCAAACTCTGAATTAGGTTTGCGAAGATTTGATGGCATTGAAAAATGTTAAGCCAGAATAATTTGGTAAAACTGTTGCATTTTTCTATCTTGACATTATTATAGGAGTCCTCATTGTGTCAAAATAAAAATTTTTATCTATGTTTAGTGCTCTGGAATTTTTCCTCAAAAGTGATTCATCTTTTGGCCAATGAGTTCCCCTTTCCTCAGTTCTAAAATAAAATCTCACTTGAGCTTCTCTGATTCTGGTCCTAAAGAATTGCCGCTGCCTCGCTTTATGATGTCAAAGACCGACAGTGAGATACGATTTGGGAACTCGGCTGAGCTGCATGGAACTAAGGTTCAAATTCCATATTTAATCTCGGAAAAAAATACCTTCAAAAGAATGGATGATGAGGATAAACAGGTAAACTGTCTGATCAGGCACGTCCATTTCATTTTGACCATGAAACCTCACTTAGCAGTGCCTCTTATCTGCTGTCAGGCTTCCAGCAAATCTCACCATCTGGGATACAATTACAGACTTGGAAGTGAGCCAGTGTAGTTTCCTTGTAGCAAGAAATAGAGACCGATGCATGGGCCCTTTAGAGCCTACTTTAATGTAGAATTGTGTCCAAAGTAAGGCCACTGATTTAGCACACTTATTTGATTTCTCTAATCAGAATTTCCAAATGAGTTCTTTGAAATGTAACTTCTAGGAGTTTTTATTAGGTCCTCTCCTCCAAAAACAAACAAACAAACAAACAAACAACCCCAAAAAACAAACAAACGAATAGACAAAAAAAAACTCTGGAGGAAAGGTTTTTCTGGTTAAGTATGTTTGGAGAATGCTGCTTCATATCCTATTCTTGGGGGAAGATTAAATCCTCAGTCTTAGAGACTCATTGTGCACGTTAACACATTAAATGCACTGAGAAGTCCTGCAATAAAGGGACTTGGGGATCTGTATTTACTACACTTATTTCACCAGGGAATCTTGGGGAGTATGTTTGGAATGCTGTCTTGTGAACTGCTGCCATTACACATTTAGCAAGTTAGGAACAAGAACAAGGAAGGTGAGATTTTAAAATTAGACCACTAATTGTAATAGTTAGGTGGTGATTGGTAGGGACAAAGGTTTAAAATTCCAGAAGAGTGAGTCTGTTAAGAAGAGGTAAATAGTCTTGCACATTAGTAAACCCTGAAGTCATCAAGATATAGCTCATACTTTTAATAAAGATATTGAATCATACAGACAAGTCAAATTATATTCAGTATAATATCTTCTATAAGGCAAAGAAATGTTATATTTTAGGGAGATGAATCAAAATGTTTTTTCAATGCAATGAAGTTAAAGAATTAAGTTGGAGAACTCATTTATATGGCTCATCCTGATAATGCTGGATATCTGAGGTCTTGCTGAAGTTCTCTATTTATAGTTTCATGCTCATTCCCTGGCTGTGTGACTGAGGACACATCCTTTTTAGACTGGATTTATGCTAGGCCTGCCTAATCTATGGGTGTGAGCTCAAGTTCCACACAAATATTGTTTTATTTTCCTTGAAGAGTATTAATCATTATCTCACATTGCATTTTTTAGAGTAATAGCAACTATATAGTATCTTTGTTGATAAAAAGTACCATTCCTTGATACTTGGGTACTTTGAAGTTACTACTGTGTTGGTAGCATTAAAAAAATGCAGAAGAGCAAACCCAGTAGCAGAGTAAGGTTGCTTGTCTTGCCTAGGGTCCAACATCAAGCTTATGTTTGAATTGAGAGGTGTTTAAGGCCCCATCCTACTGTTTACAAGTGGGCTAGTTGGAGTGGTTCATCCACGGTGAACTGTTTTGCCATCTCTCAATGTAAAAATGGAAAGCTGGCACTTTACTTGGCATAGTATGCTCTAAGAATATTTAGCATTAAGCATTTTAAGTATTTTTTAATATCCACATTTGCTGGAAGACTTGATGAGTGTAAATCCAGGAAATAGGGGCCTTTGTTAATGAATGAATATTGAATCTGTCCACAAAGAGATCAGGATTGGGGAGTATGAATGTTATTTCATGTGATCAGTGTCTTTTTATTTTCCAAAAGAAAATATTATTGGAATAACTGAAAGTATTCCAGGCTTGTAATAATTTAGGTACCTGAGCACTGGTGAGACTTTATCCTCTGACTTTTGAATCCTCAGGCACTGATTTTTTAACCCAGCTAAAATTTTGAGAAAATATTTCCTCCATTTGTTAAGTCACTGGCTCACCAGCAGTAGAGTTGTGTTATACTTCTTAACTGCAGCTTAGAGCGCCAGGCTTCTCCAGTGATTGTCTCTGAACTCTGCTCTGGTTCTTTGAAGCAGGAAACACAGTCTCCCACGATGTCACCTCTCGCCTCCCCTCCTTCTTCCCCGCCTCATTACCAGAGGGTGCCCTTGAGCCATGGCTACAGCAAACTGCGGAGCAGCACGGAGCAGATGCATCCAGGTAAGAGGCGATCTGTGGGCCAGCTGTCCCAGGCAGGGTCTTAGAGACACCTTAATCTATCAGGCAGCAATGCCGCCAGCTGCTGAATCTCTGGACTTAATTACCTCTGTCTTTGGAAACACGGCTCAATTTAATTTTATTCTCTCAAACAAGGTTTAAAAAAATAAAATGAAAATATCTGAGTAATGCCTTGTCTCCCATCCTACAAACTAGTTCATCTTTACACTTGCAAACAACGATTTAGATGATTTAATCCTTAATATGCAGATTTCATCACAAAGAAAAGTGGTATATTAAGAGGTTGTATTGTTCTGGAATTGTTATTCTTCAAACATACCAAACATATTTAAAATAACTGTTTTTATGGAACTTAAAAATATAACTACAAACGTAAAAGAGTTGATTCAACTGTTAAAAACTGATCACATAAATGGAAATATTTAGCTCTTGTGTTTGGGAATAAGAATAAGGGAGATACTAAGGAAAGCATTTTGCTGAGAAGTGTGTAAAGTGCCAGTTGTAGAGTTGGTTGCCTTCTTGCTTACATTCAGGCTGTGCTGGCCATGTTAGTGGTAAAATACGTTGGTTCTGAGGATGACTTGCAGAGTTGGCTGCCTAGGCTGCAGTACTAAAACTCCATAAATTCACTGCAGCATCTTGTTCTCCTGGGGCCCAGGCTGCTAGTTTAAGATGTGACCAATTAAAGGTATTCTAGAATTGGATACCCTTAACCCCCCTTTTTACTTTGTGGACTGTGGCTGAAAATGACCCAGTTTCTGCAGGGTTCGCTGCATTGAAAATAGTGGTGACTTTTAGAGGGACACAGATATAAAATGTGTGCTGGCCTAGACTAGAGAGAGGCTGTAATCTTGCAGAGAGAAGCAGGTATGGCATAATGGAAAAATCTTTTGATTGGAATCAGCAGGCGTGGGTTTATGTGACTAGCTATGTGACCTCGGGCAAGCCATTTAACTGCTCTGAACCATGATTTCCTCTTTTGAAATGGAGTAATAGTATCTGATAGAGGTGTTGTGGGGATTAGTGAGAACATGAGTATAAATTCTGATTGGAAATTAAGTCCTTTGCAAATGCAAGATGATGTTGTAAGAAGAAATTACTCTCTTGAAACTGATGTCTGCAACCAAACAGGGCTGAGAATTCATTTTCCTCTTATAGTCCTCCTGCCTGATCTCTGTGATTTTTGGAAGTGGTTTCTAAAAACATTCCTAATCTTACTGGGGCTTGAAAGTTGGAGTCCTGTGCCTCCCATGGTGCCTGTTTTTTGGTTTTTAATTCACAGGTGAGTCATTTTTGTTGTGAGTCGGCGTATCACCAAGTTCTACCCTATCTTTTTTGATATGCCTTTAAAAAACTTGTTTATACTACCTCTATTACATGGCCCATTCTCTCCTCATCCATTCATATTGGGCTTCTGTTCCAACAGTGGCAAGGAAACAGCCTGTTTCTCCTCATCGTTCTTAACTCTTAGCAGCCTCTGTCAAGGTTGTTCATGGCTTTATGCTTTTTTATCCCTCCCTTTAAAAAAAGTGAGGTAAAATTTACATATAATAAAATACACACATTTAAAACCTACAATTTGAGTTTTAACAAATGGACATACCCATGTAGCTACTATTTTGATTAAGAATAGAACATTTCCGTCACCCCAGAGATGCCCCTTTTCCAATCACCCCCAGCTCCCCCGTGTAAGCACTGTTCTGATTTCTATTACTATAGATTAGTTTTGCCCCTTCTAGAACTTCATATAAATGGAATCATATTGAATGACTATTCTTGTCTCCTGTCTTTCTGTCAGCATAGTGGTTGAGATCCATTCATGTTGTTGTGTGTATCAGTAGCTTGTTCCTCTTTATTACTCAGTGGTGTTCCATCGTAGAATGGACCACAGTTTGATGAGCCATTATCCTGTTGACAGGCATTTGGGTTGTTTCTAGTGTTTGACTGTTATGAAAAAGGATACTGTGAACATTTGTGTGTGAGATTTTTTGTGACATACGTTAAAAATTTCCCTGGCACCTAGGAGTGGAATTGTTGAACTTAGGGTAGGTGTATGCAAAAGCGCCAAAGAGTTTTTCAAAGTAACTGTATGCTACCACCAGCAATGTATGAGAGTTCCTGTTCCTTGAGAGCATTTGGTACTCTCAGTGGTTTCTTTTTCCTTAGTGTTTTAAATTTTAGCCATTCTGTTAGATGTGAAGTGACATCTCTTTGTGGTCACTCTTTCATTCTTGAAACATTGTTTTCTAAGTTTGTTACCCCTTCCTGGTTTTTCTCCTACATCATGATCCTTAGACTGATTAGCTGCTCTTCCAGAGGGTTCTCCCTTTGCACAGTGTACCCATAGAGAAGAGTCTGAGTGAACAGTCTCCTGTTCTCAAGGAGCTGAGTTTCCTGGGTCTAGCCATCGATTAGGAGGCTGTTAGGTGCCTGTAGCTGGGAACAAGGTCATTCACAAATAAAATGTTTACAAGTATTTCCATTTAGACTTCTCCATCTATCTAAGTCGAAGGGAGAGTTTTTCTATATGCAACTTGGGTCCACCTTACGATTTTTGCTTCTAATCGATAGCATTCACATCAAACATTGTCAGTTCCTTTTAATGTAATATCTATGGATTTCCCCACAAAGGATTTTCTTCATTTGCTTCCTTTTCTGTCATGTATCTTTAGGTCAAGAAGTAAGAGAAGACTGCACGTCTTCCTTCTGTCTCTCTCCACTTTTTCATATCTCAGTTTCTCTTCAGGCTTCTATGTCTCCCCCCCACCCCACATTTGTTTCTTAACTTGCCTCTGTTGCCTCCACAATACCATCAACCCATCTGATGGACTCAGGATGTTCTTTCCTATTTCTGTACCCCATCTTCCCTTTGGTCTAGACAGTAACATATCTAATACCCGTTAAACCTTAGCAACTCTGGTACTAAGCATTCTAGAGTTATTTTTAGTTTCCATCTTTTCAGAAAGGAGTTTTGCTCATGAGATACTTTTCTTGTAATACACTTTTCTGGGGTCATTTCCATGTTCAATACTCTGCCGTAATTCCTGGCTGATGGGGCATGTGTTGAGTGTGTTTGAAATCAGACTGAGCGCCATCAGACCAGTCTGTAGTTGAGCCCCTGTTCAGCTTCTCTTGTGGGCTCCCGCTGGATGTAGCTGTAGCTAATGTCCATTGCATACGACTTCTGGGCCAGGCATTGTGCTGTCTTTATGTGCACTATTTTCTTCTTACCACAACCCTCAGAGGCTGACAGTGCTGTCCATATTTAAAAAATATTTAAATCGCAGTAATACAAACATGCAGTTAGAGAATACTTAGATGCTTATAGTAAATGCAACTGTTCTTCCCACTGAACCTGTTTCTGATCTCCAGAGGCACCTACTTTCAGTTCCCTTGTTTCCTCTGATATCTAATGTCTTATCTCAAAATCAGTGTTTGTTCTGCTTTTTCTTACACATCTTATTCTGATGTATCAATTCTTGGTATCTACTCGCTTAAGAGCATGGGCTGTGACGTTCATCTCCTGGCCCTAAACGTAGAGTTGGTGGGCCTACGTTTCTCACTTCTGTCCATTTCTAACCTGCATGACTATGGGCATTTCACTTTTCTGGGCCTCACTTTCCTTTATCTGCAAAATGGAATAATCTCTGCCTCAGAGGTTTACTTTGTGGATCAAATGGAAAATGTAAACATTTGTGCCTACCATAGTTCTTGGCACACTGTAAGTGCTCAAATGCTCCCTAGTATTTTCTTTAGTGTTTTTAGAATCTGGTATTCATTTTATTTGTGAAATTCTTAAGTATTCTTGAAAGTCACCTTCTGGCCACCATTAACTGGGTTGACTACAGATATAGAGTCTTTATTGTGAAGTTACTCATGTCACACTGTTCTAGTTTGACATTGAATATCACAGTGATGAAATCTGCAGGGTTTGTTTTGTATTCCTATTCTTAGTGAAAGATGGTACTTCTAGTTCCTTACTAAACCTCTTAAAAGAGAATCTAAGGATTAATTTTTTTTGCATGGAGTTGCATGTCTTCTGTTTTATTTGGGAGAAAGGAGAGTAGAAGCATTAAGAAGCACCTACCTTGTTACCTCCTGAGTTCAGATCCAGTTGTGGAATGAGAGAGGAGTCAGACTCATGATGGCCTGAATATCAGCTGTGTCACTGATAGAGCTGATTGGAGCACATCTTATATTTGGGCCTTTTAGATTTGTGATCACATGGGCTTCAGATACTCACCTTTCCAGTCACAGGCAGGTGTGGCCAACCCAGGCTTCCCATAGGAGTAGGAAGAAAAAAATCTGCCCTCGAGATCAGGCCCCTCCAAAAATGATCCCCCACATGGCTGAGCCTTTGTTCAAGTCTTACTGAGGAAATAGGTCTATCTTTTCCAAGGGAAGAAGGCCTTTGTAGATGAGGGACTGGAGCCATAGGCCTGATGGCCTCCCCAACACATTTCCCTTCTAGGCAGTAGAAGCTCCCTCCTCCTGAGGGGAACCAGAGGCACGTGGGATCAGCTTCCCAGGGGAAGCTTATGACCGCTAGTATCCCAACCATGGTAAGGTTTACTGTCATTCAAACCTTCCAGCATTGAGTTTAATTCAGTGTTTCATCAAAGTGGAATGATCTTAAAAATCTTTTTCTGAAGACAACACCTGCCTACCAGCTGAGATTTATTTTTAAGATTTGGATTATGTGCTCTCTGTATATGTTTCTTTCCAGTTTTTATATTTTTAATCATTCTTAGCAGAGTCTGAAAATCCACTAAATGATTTGCTAGGCAATGATTTTGATACTTTAATGTCTTTTAATGTGTTATAATCTTGTGTTCCAGTTTCTTGGATGAAATACAATAAGCAGATGTGAGCCCAGGAGTTGTTTGTTATTCTTCATGTACTGTTGTTATACCTTCTTTGTTTTCAAAAGATCACGCAATGCTAAAGGTGATGTGCTAACAGATTGCTCTCTCTACCTAATTTTATTTATAAGGAAGCTACAGAAAGAAAGCATTTTACTTTACGTACTTTGCAAAGCTCTAATTCTTATCCCACACAGATCAGAAATAGTTTCATCTTGAGCGATAATTTCTGCTTTCTCTTGGAGCTGGATACTACCTGGTTATGTTTAACTGTTTTTATACCCTATTGGCAAGTTCATTAAGTGTTCTGGAAATAAAAGGAAAGAAAAATTGCACTCATTTTTGTGGCTTAAAACCTTTTCTTAAAGGTAACAATTATGTTTCATTTGGTTATCAAATGATAAAATAATACATATAAAATACGTTTATTGCTTTCTGTATTTTTCTTTACTTGGTTTTACATACTTTCCAAAAAGGAAAAGAAGGCAGTGCAATTTGTTTTTCAAAAATAAACAAAATAAATAATAGTGTTGAATCTTACTGTTCAAGATGCATGTTCATTTTCTTCTTTGGGGGTGTGTGATGAATGGACGACTTTTCAGCAGGAGAGTATATATAGAATTTACCTTATGTTAAAAATTTGAACGCTTATAACGTGGCACTTTTCTAACTATCATTGTTTTCTATCCCACTTTAAATTCTCACCATTGCACCCATATAATTTATTTCTAATCTTAACCTGATATAAATATTTTCCTGCCTTATCATAAATTGGTTGGATATCTTTAGATTGTTCAGTTAAACTGTACCCAGGGGCACTGAAGTTTGTTTGTCCTAGGCGGCCTATGCACATAAACTCTTATTCCTTTGCTAATTCTGCCCTTGAGAACAGAGACTGTATCAGTTGGAATGTGAAGTCATAATTTTTGGGTGGAATCTTTGTTTCCCATGCTAACTTTCCCTCCTGTTTCAGCTCCTTATGAAGCTAGACAGCCCCCTGTCCAGCCTGAGGGACCCTCATCAGGAAACCAAGGAGCCAAGCCCCCTCGGCATCAGGCTTCCCTTATCCGGGTAAGTGATGTTGTGGGGTTATACTAATGGCAGTATTGGGGTACCTGGCTTTTGGATGGGCCCTCTTTTTTTTCTTTTGCAAGGAAGATAGAAAACTGCCCACTCATGCAAATATTGTACTTCTTCTGTTTTTTTTTTGCATATTTTCCTAAATCTTTTCTACTATATATATTTCTCAGTGTCTCTAGACTAATCCAGGCTGGTTCTTGGTCTTTGGTATTTCCAAAATGCCCTTCCACCTTTGTCTATTGAATCATTAGGTACCTTCTTCAGGAGAGTTTTACTTTTTCCAAAACAGCCTATTGTACCTCTGCCTTATTTATTCTTTATTATCACTCATCCAGTGCATAGTTAGCTCTTGCCCATTTGTTTGGTGCTTGCTTCCAATTACAGCGCAACCTTTTAAAAGGCAGGCATAGTTTTTCTGTATTCCCTCTTAGTGCCTAGTTCAGTGCTGTTTGAAGAACAGTTATTTTACAAGTGGCAGCAACTACTTTTCCCCATAGGTAATAGATAAAAAAGAAATACTATGGCAGAGGTACAAGTGATATTTCAGTTTTTCCTGTCTACACCATTGCTTAGGACATTTCAACTTCCGTTCCTACATTGTTTTCCTTTGGATAAAGAGCTCTTAAGTGTTTTTTTCTTCTTCTGTATTTGCCACTGTTTTCTTGTGTAGTATCTCTGAGTCCTGTGCTGGGGAAGTCATGTTCTCAAAAAGAGAGTGTGTGTGTGCGCGTGTGTGCATGTATATCTGTATGAGAGAAGTTACGAAAAAACTTGGTTCACTGTTTGACCCTAAAGACAAGAGGAAGCACGGTGGTTTGTATAACATTTCAACCATCCAAATTGGGAAGAGGATCATTTATGCACAGGCAGTTCTACTCAAAATAGCAGGGTGGTGTCAGATAACTCCCAGAAGGAAGTGGGCTGGTGTGTGGACCAGAATAGACAAAGGCTAGGGAAGATCATGTTGTTTACTGAGTACCCACTGGGAATGGGCACTGTGTTAGGCACAGCACAGAACTTTGTCTTCTAAGGTGGTGGTACTCTGTGTACAGAGAACTTTCTTAAGGACAATAGTTTAGCTATATGTTGGATCTTTATATTTCATGCTTCTTGCCAACTATAATATTTAGGTTCTGTTGTATCTTTTAGTATAAATGAGTTAACTGGCTGAGAGAGGTTAAGTAATAGATCTAAGGTCTTATTTATAACTACTAAGTGGCAGAATCAGAATTTGAACCCAGGCCTGCCCAATGTCAAAACTTGCACTTTAAAATACTTGGCTATGCATTAAATACTTGGCTATGCGTTAGAATCCCATGTTACAAGGAGGCTAGGTTCTAAAGTTGCTGCATAAACAAATGTTGGGAGTAGTAAAAAAGATTCCTGAAAATCCCTTATTGGTACCACACTGCAGAGCCAAGATGCCATTCTCTCCTAGGTCCCATAGAGCTCAATTTTACCCCTGAGTTAGAACACACAGCTCTTTCTTCAGATAAGCCCCAGATGTAGTAGTTGGCTGCATTTAAATGTCCTGTGGTACAAAAATATGTGTCTTTAAACATAAGAATCACACCCACAGTGGAGTGATGGTTACATTAGGAAAGGCATCATAGGGACTCGGGTTCATCTAAAAAATTCCCAGGGTGTGGCTGTACGTGTTTATGCAGAGTGTATTCTAGTGCCGTGGAGACCAGATTCTGAACAGTGAGAATGATGGTCAAACAGGCAGTAACTCGTGAACTTGGCGATGGTTGCACGGGGCTCACTATCCCTTTCTACCTGGCCCCCTGGATGGGATGGCCACAGGCTCTCACTTGGATTGGTGTCTTGTGACTTCTCTTCAAAACTCTAGGTCTATTTTTCTGCTGATAAACATGCTTCTTGGGTATTTCACTCAACTGATATTTACTGAACACCTATTACATACCAGGTACTATGTTGAAAGTACAAAAGTGAGGTATAATACTCCCATTCCCTGCCCTCATGAATCTTATAGGCGATTGAAGGATACAGCCATTAATCAAACCATCACAGTGTGATGTGAATGGAAATTACAGTGTGCTCTGAGGGTTAAAAATGGTGGGATGGGGAATGGTTATGACCTAGTCTTGGCAGGCAGAGGGTGATCAAGGAAGGCGTCCAGCAGGGAGTGACATTTGAGTTGAAATGAGGAGGATTCATAGGTGTTAACCAGATGAAGGAGTGGGATTAGAGGAAGTAGGCAAGAAGATAGAGGGAACTGCAAACACAGATATTTTCTTTGTACTTAGCATTTTACGCACATCATGTCGTTCACTGCTCACAGCTATTTTATGAGGTAATTCTGTTGTTAATCTCATTTTTCACGTGCTAAAACCTGAGGTTTAAAAGACCTCATTTAATTTGCCCAAGGTTACAGCTAGGAAGTGGTAGGGCTGGAGTTCAAACACTGGACATGATTCCTTAGTTTCTGGCTCAGGAACCGGATGGAAGATGATGTCATCTATTAAGCTAAGAAGCCCTGGATGAAAAACTGGTGTTGGGAGTATTGGGGAAAAGATTATGAGTTCAGCGTTGGATGTTAGAATTTGAGCTTTTGATATAGCCAAGAGGAGGTGTCAGAGATGGTAGGATATATGAGTCTGGAGTTTTGGGGAGAGCCAGGCTGGACATAAGCATTTGGCAGTGATTAGAAGGACTTAAGGTAGAGGCAGAAAAAAACCAGACAGGTGCTTGTCTAGGTCCAGCCAAACTCTGTGTGACCTTGGGGCAAGTTGTTCTCTTTTCTGTAATATGAATGACTTGGAATGGATTTCGCAGTTCATTGTAATAAACTGCAACAGTCTGATTCCCTTAATGTTTGTTTGGCATCAGTGGAGGTCCCCCCTCCTGTTTGGAGCATTGCCTTCTGTTTCAGATGAGAGCAAGGGGCCTTTTTTTGGGACAGCAGTATGTGGTTTTCATGGCTGATATGTATTTCTTTCTTTAGTTCTTAGGTTTCCTTCTTACGTCTGTCAACTTGGTTTGGCTGGACTCCATGTCCCAGAAAGCAAAATGCCAACCTGAATTAGTCATGTAGGTGAGGGGATCTGAAATGAAGGTTCTTGGTGGAAGGGGATTAATATGGATTTAACATGGTGCTAGACCAGACCAGACTAACTAATTCCCCTCATGTTACCACGTTAATGTGCTGATGGCAGCCTCGCTGTCTTCCAGCTTCCTCTGTGGCCATGTATTCAAGCTCCTCCTGCCTGATTGGGAGGGGGTGGCCTCTGGGTCCTGGGGAAGCTTTTGGGGACCCTGGGCCAGTTCTGTTACAGCTCACGGGCTTGGCATTTTAGATGTACTTATGCCAAAATCAACACCCAAACTTTGGAATAGTCTTTTTGGTTAATGTTTTAGGAATTTCAATTTCTTTTTGTTAAGACGGTGGATGGTTGACAGCGGTTTGCAAATGAATGATATGTCTCCTTTCCTCCTTCATGTGTTATCATGTGTTCATAGGTCATTTTATGGTTTACTTTTCACAAGTTACTCTTGACTATCTAGACTGTATAGGCATTTATAATTTTGCTGGCATAGGATTTAGGAATGCCCTTTCTGCTCCCACTATACTCCACTGCCTCTGTTTTTGCCACTGTTGCCAGAAACTACCTAGTGTTAAGGCCTTGTCTTATTGACCCCTTTGCAGCTTTTTGACACTGATTAATCATTTAGTGTCCATGATGTCATCCTATTCTTGATCTTTTTCAGTTCTCTTTCCTCCACCTGCCCCATGGATGTTGGTGAGTTCTAGATCCAGTTCTCACTCTATTACTCCTTAGCTACGTGGAGGCTGATGACCACATATATTTATCTACCAGTCATCTTCACTCAACTGTCCCACTGTCACTTTAAACATCTTTCCCAGAAAACCAGCTTTCAACTTTCCATTCCTGGCTCCATCCACTCATTGGCACAGACCAGAATGCTGGCCACTGTCTCTGAGTCCTCTCTCACCCATTCTCCCCATTCAGTTACCAACTCTTGGCCATTGAACTTTCTAAATCTCTCTCTTACCTGTCCATTCTTCTGTACTTCCTCAGTTAAGGCCATCTTCTGTCACCAAATCTGTTACATCAGCCTCTCTTTCTTCTCTTTCCGCTGTTGCTGTCTTTAAATCCATTATCCTCACCATAGACGAAAATAATCTGAAAAATAGAAATAGGTTCTTCCTACTCTCTTGACTGAAACCTGTCACACTCTATCTGCTGCTCTCAACATATCATCCACCTCCCCGAATATGGCTCTGGGGCCTGGTATGTGGCCCCTGCTGTTGTTCTCTTCAGTCACAACAGCCTGCTGCTTCTCTCTCTCTGTCCTCTGGCCACACAGAGCTGCTGACCGTTCCCCATATGGTCCATGTTCTGTGTGGGAACCTCATTTTTCATACTTGCTTTGCCTTCTTTGTTTTCTCCTTTGTCTCAGTTCATCTATGCGTTTTTTTCCCCCATTGATCACACAAACTGAGCATTTTCTAATATTTCTTGTATATGTGAAGTTTCCATTTTTTCATTCTTCAAAATACTTCATTCCTCATCTCATTTATATGAGAAGCTCAGCCAGAGGAGGGGGGGCATCCAGTCTTTATTGGTTTCCCATCCCAGAGGCATTTGGTGTTGTCTGTTTCTTTTGTATTATTCCAGGAATGCTTTATGCATATATAAGCGAATATAACTATTCTTATAGATATCTAATATATGTGGTATGTTTTTACTTGACTTTAGGGAGACAGCTTTGGCAAATGAGATCCTTCCAGCCAGATCTCACTAGGAAAAAACTCCCTATATTTTCTGTCTTTTTTTATATTTATTTTTTCAAATACATTTGTCTCTCCCTATATTTTCAACCAAAACACACTTGCTTTTTAAACCCTACACATACATACTGTGAGGTTTTCTTCTCTTTCTGGAGGGATAAACTTAACAGTCTCTTTGGATAAATTTTCAATACTCACTATTCTTCTTACTTCA